GAATTTTTTTAGAATTTATAGATTTTATTTAAATTCTAATTTGTGATATCACGAACGCATCTCACCAGGTTTAATTGGATAAACAAGATGGATCTTTCTTGATTTATAGTATCCGTTTAATTGCCATCTGATTAATATGCTTTGAATAATTTGTTTTAGGAAACTTAAAACCGTTTGAATTCTACTTTACACGTTATTCAGCAGCCATCTAATCTTTGGTTAATTCAACTTGTTAAGATACATGATACCGTAATGATAATAGTGGTTGATGACGTTTGAAGAGGATGAATGTGATAATGATGAAGCAGATGATTACTGCTGATAATAATGATGATAATATATTATAATGAATAATAAGCATGTGGTAATGTTTTGCGTATAGGTTTGTTTATGGTGATGATGATGATAATGATGATGACGTGAAGTAAGAACTCACATAACATTATAATGACCACTATTATCAACCTAATTGCAATCGTTCCCGATCTATATAAAGTATTCTAACACATTCATGCATATCATTTGCATATTTATTGACGTCACGGTGTCTATTAATTAATCTTTTCTTATTCGTCTTCACTCACTCGTAACCTGAGGATGGATGGATTGAGTTCGGTTTAGTAACATAGTATTGGTTTAAATCAGAGACTGAAATATTTTTTTTTATTGTGTGTTGTACATATAGAGTTTTACATAAAGCATTCCTAATGTTGGAGATTTTTTTCGATGAGAAAGACAAAGCCCATAATTGATTTAAAGGCGAATAAATGTATAATTATTACATCGGATATTTTTTTTATCGTCTGTACGGTTAACACCGTGAGACATACCTGTATGACTATCGCACATAGATTCAAGTTTTGTTACAAGCCAAACCTACATTCGATTTACGCTAGGTCTTTCGATATTCAGGTTCTAGTCTGTTTATAAAATGACATTTGAATTTTTTATACATTATGTGCAATTTTTCGGCTGTTAAGTTTCGATTGGAAACATAATCTCGCTGTGTTATACAAATTATTAGAAATGTTATGCAGAGTTTATAAAACTGGTGCATAATTCAAATACAGTTAATCGAACGGTTTTAATCACCGCAGTATGCATATTGGCAAAATTCGTCATATTTTCTACCTTCATTCTGTGTATATATATATTATAGAAATATATGTCTACCGATTTTGATGATTACCTCACCCCCTGCTATTTATCGTTCGAATTGCATAAGTTAGGGACAACGTTGGTGGTCTCAGAGCAATTAAGTTGAGGAAAGTATTCACTTACAAAATGTATGCTTCAATTCGAATCCACTTATAATCGATTTTAGCAACTCGATAAAGAAGAATATATGCGATGAATAAGTATGCAGAGTAAGGTGTTTTATTATACACAACTTACCTATATGTGGCGTTGAAATCAGCTATACTTAATTGATAAGGCGACTAACCGAGTCGTGGTACATGTGATATAAGAAAGTAACACTAGACAACCACAATAGAAAAACAGCAGAACGTATTTCCAATCTTAGGACAGATTGAAAAAATGTTAAAATGTTCATGTGTAATATGAACATAATATAAAATATGTTCTCCTTTAAGTATTTGTATATGAATTTATTTACCACCAAAGTGTAAGAAACAAATTTAATATTCTACAATTGTAATTTTTACGTTCAACTTATCGAGGGTGGTATTTGAACTATGTTAATATATTTGTCTTTATCTTTGTTAATAGCTTGTATATATATTATGAAATTACTATACCGCAAAAGAATATCTGTTTTTGTAGAGTTGTTTTTGTTGTCAATATTGGTAGTGATAATGTTGAATTATTTATAAAATATTTCACAAATTTTAATAAAACGTTATCGAAAACAATATTTTTGACTGATGGGAGATTATTTTGTTGTTGTTACAATGCAAACAAATTTATGCATATCTGTATATACACTTGATTCAATTTTTTTTTCGATGAGAAAGTAATTAAAAGGAGATTTTTGCATGACTTAATGTCCACAGGCCGTACAAGTGAAACAACTTTGATAGAGGTTGGCATACAGCAAATGGACACGGGAATGAAATAAACTAATGGGAATAATTTCGACTGTGACGATGTTGAAGATAAGATCTATGCATGTAGGGATGATGATGATGATAATGATGGTGGTGGGGATAAAGATAATAAGGATTATAGTAATGATGATCATGATCATGACGACGAAGTCAACGACGATGGTGATGGACAGAGACCTCCAAATCCCATGAGGATGGTGCCTGTATTCTCTAAGTTAATGACCCTGATCATGAAAATGGTGATGTTGCCAGCGATGATAACGATGATGACGATAATAATAATGACAATAATAATAATAATAATAATAATAATAATAATAATAATAATAATAAAGGGAATAATAATAACAATAATAATAAAAATAAAATAATAATGACAATAACAGTAATAATCATATTACTGAATAATGGTTAATTCTAAATAATAATATAATAATGATAATTATAATTATAATAACGAATGTTATTTAATAATAATAATAATAATAATATTAATAATAATAATAATTATTATTGGTTTTGTTATCTACAGTATTTTAATTGGCCTATTGATTTAATCTGAATTTTAGTAATTTTAAGTTGTAACTGAAATCTTTTATTCTTTTAGTAATTTTTAAATTTTAATCGGAATCTTTATTCAACATTTTAATATTTTATGAATCACAATTGTATCATGTTTTGTTTGTTTGGAGTTGTTCTCGTTTTTAGTATTTCACTTGTATATATAAATGTATATTTTATCTATATAAAACAAATATTGTGTGTGTGTGTGTTTTTTTGTTTTTTTTTTAAAATAAAATTTCAATGACCCAAAATGTACCCACAGCTAATCCCATATTGGAAAAATAAAATTGTATAATAATAAAATTGTATAATAATAATAATAATAATAATAATAATAATAATAATTATTATTATTATTATTAGACTGTTTAAACATAACATTACCACGAAGTACTTACATTTACAACTAGGCCTAGATCAGGAAAAACCGAAACAGTGCCACCGAGAGGGGGACAAGATCCCTGGGGCCCAACCTTACCGGGGGAACCATAGAAATTGCAGGTAGCATTTTTTTTTCAATAATACTA